AGTGTGATCTGTAAAGACCCCTAAAGGATATTTTGTAAAGATAAATTCTTATGCAAGAATACATGAATACTTAAAAGAAAATTGGTACACAGGATAAGAACAGTAGAAAAGGAGACCTGACTGGTGTGGCTCAGTGGGTTTAGTGTCATCTCGCAAACTGAAAGGTCACCGGTTTGATTACTGTTCACAGCACAAACCTGAGTTGCAGGCCAGGTCCCCAGTTGGAGGCATGAGAGAAGCAACTGATTAATGTTTCTCTCCCATACCAATGTTTCTCTTCCTCTCTTTCTTCCTCCTTTCCCTCTCTCTAAAAATAAGTTAATAAAATCTTTTAAAAAATAGTAGAAAAGGAAAGAGGACAATGAGGGTGATAAAAGAGGAAGAGGAAGAGTCTGGGAAGGATGAAAAATTGTGAAAGAGAAAGAAGGAAAACATAGGTGACCATAGTTGATAACACTGGATTGTATAATAAAATTTGCTAAGCTGTATAACTTAAATGTTGTGGCAAAAAAAAAAAAGGTAAGTGATGTGATGAATGTATTAATTGTCTAGATAGGGGAGATCCTTTAACAGTGTATATGTATCAAATCATTATGTTGTACATTAGGAATATATTACCATTGTATTTGTCAATGATGCCTCAGTAAAGGTGAACAAAGAGAAAAGAGGAAGAATATGCTAAGCAAATCCAATAAATAGAAATTTATATTGGACAAATTAAAAGGTAGTGAGTGATTCATTCTATGCAATGGATCACAATTAAATGCAAAGTTTCATTACATCTAAAACAGTAATATTTATCTATAAAATATTCACTCATACCTATTTTTAAGGCATAGTAAAACCCCAGTTATAAAGAATCTTTAGGTTTCACTAAGTCAAACCTAAGTTTTCACTTAGAGCATCAAAACATTTACTTTTATTCCAATAACAGTTGTATTCAAGAGTCAACTATTTACCTCCCTGATTCAGCATCATTCAATGGAAAGGAATCTCTAATAACTCTGTCACATCTTTAAACAGCCAATTTGGGGCTCTTCTACATAAATTATTATGGTGGTAGTGATTTAGGGGAAAAAATTAACATTGTAATGGTTATGGCTAAGGAAAGTTAGGTTTGGATTCTTAAAGTCAGGGAACATAACTTTTCCTACTATAAGTCTCATATTCCACATAAAAATTTAGTCATCCATGGTACAGAAAGCTGGCAAGCAATGTGACTTGCTTCATATACTATGGTTCTCAACGCTTTATACTGACATGTGTAAGAAACTCTCAAAATACCACATATTACATAGTGATTTCAACCTACCAAAAATTGGCTGACTAAACACAGTCACCTTGTATATAAGATAATACTGCTTTCTGATTCAAATGGTTTAAGTAACAATTCACAAAACAATCTACCCACAAAGTGTAAATTACAGTATACATGTAGTGTCTACTGTCAGTTACAAATCCACAAAACCAAGAATTAGTCCAGGCAAATCAAGGAAATAAAAAACATCTGAATTTAAAAGCCAACTACTACAACAAAAAAGTAACAACTTTTAAAGGCCAAATTAAATTTTCAGTTAACCATCTCACATAATACTATATACTTTGAGAATTTTTAAAAACTGAAAATATTCATCACAGATTTTAAAACTGTTAAATGAGAGCAAGTAACTAAAGAAAAATTGTATACTAGAGAAGATTAAATGAAATCATAGTGCTAGGAGGTCAGCAAAAATTAAAAAAAATAGTAAAATAATTTAAAAGATCAGTAAAATAATTTGGAAAACTATACATATTTTCACTTAAAAGTTTTATACATTTCCAGAATGACTACATTTTAAACTTTACTGCATTAAAAAAATACCCTAAAATGTATTTAAAAGATAAAAGTAGTAATTACATAAAAATTAAAGTAAAATTTTAAGATTTAAATGGTGTTTTCTGCAAGAACTTTCTTTTTTTCAAAAGTTTAAGAAACAGTTATACATTATTATATACTATTTCTTTTCTATTATACCTAGATAATCCCATATAATAGGTGGTTTAGGTTAATGAGTTAATTTGTTTTTAAATCCAAGAAAACTTAACAGTAAAAGGTAGACATCTGTTAATATTTCAAAATATTTTCTGCATAATTTCCCTAAATACTCATTAGCATTCTAATTATGACCAGTATTAAAGCTTTTAGTAAGAGTCTACTCCAGGTCAACAATAAACTAATAAATAAGGATAAAAATGATTAGAAATACACACACACACACACACACACACACACACACAAACCTAGCTTTTAAATCACATGCTTAGTTTTTTCTTACAACTTAGGATATAGGGAACTCTAGAAGTCATAAAAACCAGAATAAAGCCCCCTTTTATTGGCAAAATGTGTACATAACTGCAGTAAATTTAAGTTAGATATAAATACATTAGAAACATTACTCTTATTCTATACAGAATCTCAGAAAATATTTTCCCAAATATATGGGAGAAATTTATTCTCTCAAATTGAAAGTATTATGCCCACCAAAAGATTTAAATAGGCCCAGTTACAGAAATATGTTCTTGAAGTTACAGTTGTATTACACTCTACTTCAGTTATTTCTATATAAAAGGGTCAATATTAGTTTACCTGAGTCAATAAGCCTGTATGATAAATACTGGAAATTTAAACTTCTCCAGAGTGATTAAAAATATATACATGTGCTTTTTCAAGATTACATACATCCCTTTAAAAACTAGGGCTACTACCCACAGCAATCCTATCAAAATACCAATGGCATTTTTCACAGATATAAAACAAACAATCTTAAAATCTGTATAGAATAACAAAATAACCCAAATAGCCAAATCAATCTTACAAAAGAATAATAAAGCTGAAGGCATCATGCTCCCTGATGTCAAACTATCTTACAAAGCTACAGTAATCAAAACAGTATGATGCTGTCATTAAAGACAGACACACAGATCAATGGAACAGAATAGAGAGTTCAGATATAAACCCCTGCATATGTGGTCAGTTAGTTTACAACAAAAGAGCCAGGAATATACAATGTGTAAAGGATAGTCGCTTCAAAATTGAGAAAACTGGACAACCATACACAAAAGAACAAAACTAGACCACTATCTCACACCATACACAAAAATTAACTCAAAATGGATTAAAGACTTGTAGGTACAACCTGAAACCATGAAAACCCTACAAAAAAACACAGACAGTAAGCTCTTTGACATCAGTCTTGACAGTAATTTTTTAAATCTGACACCAAAAGCAAAAAATAATCAAGTAGAACTACATTAAACTAAGATGCTTCTGCACAGAAAAGAAAACCATCAAGAAAATGAAGGGCAATACTAAATGGAAAAATAATATTGCAAAGCATGTATCTCATAAGAGTCTAATATCCAAAATATAGAGAGTATTCATATATCTCTATGATAAAAAAAAACTAATCTGATTTAAAAATGAGTAGAGTATCTCAATAGACAGTTTTCCATTGAAGACAAACAAATGATCAAAGGTATATGAGAATATCCTAAACATCACTAATCGCTAGGGACATGCAAATCAAAATCAATTAAAATACCACCTCACAGCAGTCAGAATGACTATAATCTAAAAGACAAGAAATAAGTGTTGATGAGGAAAAGAGAACACTTGTGCATTGTTGGTGAGAATGAATTTGTGCAGCAACTACGGAAAACAGTGTAGAGGTTCCTCAAAAAATTAAAAATAGAACTACTATATGATCCAGGAATTTCACTTCTGGGTATTTACCTGAATAAAACAAAAACAATAACTCAAAAAGATATATGTATGCAATGAATCCCTTTGTCCATTGCAGCATTATTTATAATAGCCAAGATATGAAAACAACCTAAGTGTCCATCAATAGATGGATGGATTAAAAAATTATATATATAATATATATCCAAATGGAATGTTAATCAGCTATAAAAAGAATAAACTCTCATCACTGTGACACAGATGAGCCTTGAGGGTGCAATATAAGTCAGAAAAAGATAAATACCATATGATATCACTTATATGTGGAATCATTTTTTTAAAAAAAAGCTCATAAATATAGAGAATGATGGGTGCCAGAGATGGGGTTTCGGGGTGGGCAAAATAGGTGAAGGGAGTCAAAAGGTACAAGCTTCCAGTTATAACATAAATAAGTCATGGGGATAGAACATTCAGCTTGATGATTATATTATAGTTAATTATACCATACTGAATGTTTTAAATTTGCTAAGAAAGTAAATCTTAAAAGTTCTCATCGCAAGAAAAAAAAACACTATGTACGGTGATGAATGTTAACAAGGTGTATTTTAATGGTCATTTCATAATATACAAATACCAAATCAATATCTTGTACACCTGAAACTAATATAATGTTATATGTCAATTATACCCTAATAAGAAAAATAAGGGGTATTAATAGAATATTTAATCACATTAGCTGAGTTTAAGTTCAGTCTCTAAAGAATACTTAGCTTCCTTATTCTGTTATTTTATGAAATAAGTAAATTCAATATAAACTACTTTATTATTTTTTTTTTACTTATGGCAAACTATAAAGTTCATGTATACTATTGGAAATGATGCAGGTATCCTCTAACATAGGTCAACACCTAATTATCTATAAAACATTAATGAAAGCATTGCTGTTCCAATCAAGCACAACAACTTCCCTCCACTTTAGAATAAAAACTAACCCAGCTCCACAACTAATCACATCTTAAATTATGGATTTGAAAAAAAATGTATTTTACATTTAAAAAAATAAATACAGCATAAAACCTTGCTTTTCACTGAGTCAGTGTAATTTTTGTTTGTTTGCTTTTATGGCTGTATGATTTTCATCATTCTTCTGAGAAAATTTAGCATGCAGCCCTCATTCTCTAGACGCTCAAAAAAACCCCACAGACTTAAACTATATGAGAACTTAATCAGACACTGTCTAGCTGAATACACCATAAGTAGCATTGCAAGAACATTTGTACTAAATTTTAACACTGTTCATTAACAGTTCCATTTTCCTGAGTCTGTGTTTGTTCTTTGGCGTTGGCTTAGAATATAATCCATTTTTCAGAAGGTGTTCCTTGCTGAGGAGAATTCGAGCTCCATGCTGAAGCTGGAAAGAACATAAAGCTTGAAGAGGGCAAAGCAAAGTCTGTTAAGAGTAAAAAAAAAAATAAACAAAAAAAAAACACATACACACACTAAAAGTGCATCTGTGCAAGACATGGTATTATACCTAGAATTTTTCTTCAGAAACAACCATCATCGTCATCATCATTATTTGCTTTTAACAATGAAAACCAATAGGTACTCTAATAAATAGAGGATGATTTCTATTTTTAATTGTTGTTCAATTAGAGTTGTCCCCATGTTCCCCCATTACACTCCTCCACCCTACCCACCCCCACCTCCCACATTCAGTCCTCTCCTCACCTCCACTGTCTTTGTTCATAGGGCCTTTATACAAGGTCCTTGACGACCCTTACCCTTCTCTCCCCCATTATCTCCCTCCCCTTTCCCCTCTGGTTATTGTCAGTTTGTTCTTTATTTCCATGTCTCTGGTTATGTTTTGCTAACTTGTTTGTTTTGTTGATTAGGTCCCACTTATAGGTGAGATCATATGGTATTTGTCATTCACCATTGGCTTATAATTTCTAAATAAAAAATTTATTTAAATCCATACCTTATAGACCACTAATTAACTCCAGTAACAAGATATAAATCAGTTTTTCATATAGGTGAGAAAGTCTGAATTTGGTTTCATACATTAAGATATTCAAACCCCGCAAAGAAATGTTGCCATTATAATTTAATCTGTTACAGGCAGACTGCAAGAAATTTTTAGATAACAATTAGTTGATTAATTTTACAATCACAAAAGCTGCAAGCTTCCTGCAGCTGATAACAGTTAGATGATGGCAGTAATGGGTAAGTGGTTTACTAATGCTCAGCTGTCCATGGACCACATACAAGTTAGATATCCAGGTTCTGGTGCATTCAAAATAATCCTAACTGTATGCAGTGCATTTGAAATAATTCTAACTGTATGAGTACCAGCCTAAATTTAAATACCTACAGGGCCAGCCATTTAATGTAAGCATGTGAATTGGGTGGATCCATAGGGTAGCAGAGAATAGTGGAGGTTGTAAAACAACTGGAGCATATGCCTTTCCTAAAGTTAATCAAATTAAAATGTTTTTAAATAAAAACACCATACTAGTTTTTTATATCACAGAGCGATATCAGGATTTTAAACACATTTTTAAAATTTTTTAGTTGTTGTTCAATTACATTTGTCCCCATTTCCACCCCTTTTACTTTACCCTGTCCTACCCACCCCCCACCTTCCACATTCAATCCTCCCCAACCACTCACGCTGTCTTTGTCTTTTGGTCCTTTACACGTGTCTCTTGACTTGACCCTTCCCCTTCTTTCCCCCTTTATCCCTCTCCCTCTCCCCTCTAGTCACTCTCAGTTTGTCCTTTATTTCCATGTCTCTAGTTCTATTTTTCTTGCTCAGTTAGTTTTGTTAATCAGGTAGCCAGATTCTTTCCTTGAGCCTGGGACTCCTTATCAAAAGTTTTAAAATAACAATAGCATCGCTTGATTGAGCAGATTGTTAATAAAAAAAAAAGAAAGAAACAAAGAAAAAGAATAAAGGAAAAACTGATATATTTAACTACAAAAATTTCTAACTGTCTATGTGAAAATTTATGCCCTCAAGCATACAACACAAGAAGTAAAAAGGGCTTAATACATTTAATGTACAATAAACTCACAAATGTAAGCAGTTACTGGTAGTTGCTTCTTCATAATCCATCCATTCTTTTGTTCCTTATTAAAAAATCAAAAATGTTATTCAAGGTGGCAGTGCGCGCGGTTAGTACTATTACACTGGGTAATGGCACAGTCTACCCAATGAGATGTGCGTGAGAGTCCTTACGTGGGGCTTCCAGAGGGTTTCTTTAAAACGGGACAGACTCAGCAGGTGGACGTTCGCCTTTCGTCTTGACTGCAACGGTATTGTTAGAGTTGGAATAACCACCAAGTGTCTCCAGGGCATGAATCTTATAAATAAACATGAAGATTAAAACCAAATATATATGATCATGAACAGAAAGACAGGAAAAATCTGGGTCTCTGATGATTCATCCCCAGCCTTGGCAGTTCTTATTTTGGAGAGAAAAAGAAATTCTTCTATGGCTCAACCACTTCAGTAAGTGCTCTGTTACATAAGAAAAAGACAAATATCTTGGAAAAGTTCTGCATGACACTATTGTAGAAAGACCCTTAGATATGTTCTCATAATTTCCTTTAATACGTTCATTTCTTGAAACAAGAGAGAAAATGTGGAAATGACTACATATTACTTTACAGAGTCAACATAGTGGAATGATTAGATTCTGAATCACTATTCTTAGGAAACATATCTAGGACTATATACAGATCGAGGCAATTGAAGGTTCTATTGCAATTCTATGACATTAAATTCTTCAGGGACAGGAGAATACTAATATTCTTATGGTTAAGGGTCTTCAACTTTTACCTCCTGAAGATAAGAGTCTTAATTTTCAAAGGTAATTAAGAGAACGAATTTTAGAGATACACAGACCTGAATGAGATTTCCCACTCCATCTCTGTGGTAGCCACTAGGACTATTCACAAATATACCAGTCCTCGCTGGTACAAGATAGTACTGGATTTCCTAGCCCCCTATGAAGTTAGACATGGCTATGTAAGTAACATTGGTTAATGAAATGTGGGCACAAATAATATGTGCTTCCTCTGGGCAGAAGCCTTAAATGCAGTATATGATTCATCGCCTCCCCTTATTCCTTCCTTGAAGAAAGTAGAGTGGCATGTCTGAGAGTGCCTCCATCAGCCTGGGTCCCTACGTGACCGCAATGAGCAGAGATCCTCCTAGCAATCCCACTCGACAGACAGCATAAGATAGTCATAAACCTTTCTCGTACTGTGCCATTCTAATTTTGGAGTTTTAAGTTATTGGCGCCTAATCCAGTTCATCTTTTTTAAGCTGAGTTTATTGGGGTGACATTACATGATGAAATTACACAAGTTTCAGGTGGACAATTTTGTAATACATCATCTGTATATTGCATTGTGTGTTCACCACTCCAAGTCAAATCTCCTTCCATCACTATTAATCCTCCCTTTACCCTTTTTACCTCCCTCCACCCCTCTTCTCCTCTAGTAATCACAGTGCTATTGTCTGTGTTTTTTTAAGGTTTTTTTAATTCTTTTTTTTGGCTTAATTCCTTCACCTTTTTCACCCAGTACCACAAACCACTTCCCCTCTGAGAGCTGTTAGTCTGTTCTCTATCTCTGAGTCTGTTTCTATTTTGTTAGTTTATTTTGTTCATTAGATTCCCCATACAAGTGAAATCATACGGTATTTGTCTTTCTCTAACTGGCTAATTTCACTTAGCATAAATACTGTCCAGATCCATCCATGCTATCACAAAGGGCAAGATTTCCTTCTTTTTTTACATCTAAGTAATATTCCATTATGTAAATGTACCACAGCTTTTTTATCCACTCATATCCTGAGGGACACGCAGGCTGCTTCCAAATATTGACTATTGTAAATAATGCTGCAATGAACACAGGCGTGCATATATTCTTTCGAATTAGTGTTGCAGATTTTTTGGATATATTCCTGGAAGTAGAATTGCTGGTCATAATAATCCAGCCTATCTTGACTGATGCATCATGTACTAGCTATGTGTTCCCAGACATTATATAACCTCTCTTTGCCACGTTTTCTTCATTTGTGAAATGAGGAAAATAATGTCTACCTTGTAAGGTTGTTATTATGGTACACTATGATGCATTAAAATGTTTGACATACTCCTTGATAATAAATGAAATTATTCCTATATAAATGAGTAAATAACATATCTGAGGCAATGTGAAGCTATATGAGAGATGGACTGGTTCGGAGGAACAAAGAAAATCCTCCTATAAAATTAAAAAGTTAAAAAAAGTTTATTTGGGGGGAAAGTCAAAGTTTTGTAAATCCTTTTGTCTGCAGATACAAAGAAAGTTTTCCAGGGACCATTATTAGCAACTACTGGTGTTGAGTGGAGCTAAGGCACTTAGTCTATGACACAAAGCTTTGCCACTTCTAGTTACAAAAGTTCACAAGGTAAAACTTTGTAAGTGGAGATGGTTCTGTAATTTTAAAAAAAAATCCCCAAATTCAAGGCTTCCTGGGTATGAAAAGCCCTGGTAAATATTATTGTAGCTGAATGAAAATCACCAACCTTTAGTTAAAAATTTTTGTCAATCTAATCAGAAAGGCAAGAAAGGACAAAAGGATTAACTATTCGAGTGTCTGGTGTCATGCAATTAACACACATTATTCCATTCAATTCTCACAATAACACTATGAGGTTAATTATTTTTTTATGTTACAGATACAAAAACAAGCACAAAGAGATTACATGAATTACCCGCTGGCAAAAATAATAATGATAAATGACAAAGTGTTAATGGAAACCTGATTCAAAGCTTGTATCATGCTACTTCAAGTGTTTGAAAAACTGCTCGAGAATAAAGTATGAGGATGAATCAATAGACTAAGAAGACTACTATTTTGAGGAGCTCTACTTCTATAGAATGAAGCCAGCTGAAAAATTACTAATCTCCCCATCATCTTAAGGTTTTCTGATAATGCTACTAATTAAAGGTGATTGGGGGGAAATGTAAGGCATTGATTTCCTCCCCAGGAAAGAAAAAAAAATACCTATATGTTTAGAGCAGACAATAATTGTGTTTCTCAGTGGAAGGTACCAATTTTTTTATTATTGTTAGATTTGAATAGGCTGAACCTGGGGTTCCCCCACTAAGAAAGCTAAATTTTTGCCATTTGTAATAAGAAGCAACTTGGGATGTTTCATTATGCATTTCTTCTGTTTATACTCTGGCCAACCATCTTATTAGCACCACTCAAATCATATGTCTGATTGTCAAACATCCTCTTCCTACTCCTGATGACTATAGTATGACTACGGCTGACAAAAGCAAACAGAATGAGACCTCTGGGACCTCACCCTTACTTTGGGATTTTACATTCAATTTTATCCACAGATCACAGTAACAAAAGCTGAAGAGATGAAGGGATGTGTCTCCATTCTGTATCTTAAACTTTGTCTGTTGTTAGATGTTATACTCAGAACATAAGACAGGTTTCCTGTTATTATGGTACATTAATTAATACCAGAAACATGTCTTATAAAATTGGGAAAGGGAGAAGCAGTAGCACCATTAGTAGCATCAGTATTAGTACAAACCCTATCTGAACCCCAGCCATATTACCCTTATTAAACCACCACCAATACCAACATGAAAGCTTCTGTTTCAGATTGTAGTAAAGGTGGAATTCCAATTGTGAGAATAAGGGATGTATGTCCACAGAGGATTCTTTTCAGGACCAAAAGAAGGTGAGGAAAACTTTAAATCTACAGCTAAAGAATATTATATTTTCACCTCAAGATTTGAATGTTTAATGGGTCCTTTGCCCTATGGTGGCTGATCATAGAGCTTTTCATCAACAAAAAGAGAAACACAGAGAATGTATGGAAAGCAAGTTTAAACAATATTAAGACACCTAAAAATAGTATAGGTTATTTTTTGGTTTTTGTTTGTTCTTTTTTGTGCTCTCAAGAACTTAGAGGAATAATGGTGAATAGGAAGGAAGAAAGAAAAGAAAGAAAGAAAGAAAGAAAGAAAGAAAGAAAGAAAGAAAGAAAGAAAGAAAGAAAGAAAGAAAGAAAGAAAGAAAGAAAGAAAGAAAGAAAGAAAGAAAAAGAAAAGAACATAGGGTAGCATATTGTGTTATATGTTGATGGCCAGGTACATGGAAGCAGGTAACAAGGTTAGAATGGAGGGAGAAAAGTATGAAAACACTTCCTAGTCACTTGGGGTAAGGATCTAGGGTCCCTCATGAGTATTTTTCTCAAAGGAGAGGAACAGAGAAAGTGAAACTGCCTAGATCCAAAACAAAGTCAACTTACATGGGCACACCAATACAAAAAGTCTACCCATGAAAGCCTATTTCTTTCACCAAAAGAAGCAATGTCTCCAACTCCGACATTTTCCATGTCTTAGAGTAAGGGAGAGGAGAGGAAAACATAAGTAAATGTTTGCTCTTGGCATTCTCTAACTCTTCTTGCTTTGAAGGCCTTTTCTCTTTTGCTTGGTAACTAGCCCGGTTAATCTGACCTGAGCTTTTATCCAGTATTGAAATTTCCTTCATGGCGAAGGCACTCTCTTGTGTAATAGTAACCACAGTGTATAATGAGAGAGAGAGGGAGAGAGAGAGAGAGAGAGAGAGAGAGAGAGAAGAGACAGGAAATACTACTACTTGGTGTTTGTGTGTATGTGTGTTAAAAATTTCATGTAGCTATACTTGTTATCCTCTGATTTTTCTTCTCAAGTTGTATTTATCAAAAAATTTCAGTGATTAAAGAAACTAACAATATAAGTTTTATTTTGCTATTTTATGTCAGCAGTGCAAAGTTACTTACATGTTCCAAAGATTGCGATGTTAATTAGCACAATAAAACATTTTTACTGATGATTATTAATTATATATTAATCATCAGGCTTTCATGAAAATTAAATAAAATGATGATTGTGGGTTATAATCTTTTCATATTTTGCAGGCATTTTTCTCAAAAAGTTATAATTTTTATACATTCTAAGCATGGTTAATAAGACAAACAGGAAGTTGGTATACCTTCTCAAAAAAAAATGCAAAAAAGTAAGATGTCCTTCCTTTTTTTTTCACTTTCTAATGTTAAATAATCTTTTTATTTTTTCTGAATAAATTTTAAAATCATGATCCAGAAGTTCTCCCAAAAATCCCATTAATATTTTTCTTGGGCTATTCTTTTTTTTTCAAATTAAATTTTTTATTGTTCAAGTACATTTGCCTCCCTTTTCCCACCACCACTTTCCCCTGCCCCACCCACCTCCCACCCTCAATCTTTCCCCACTTTGGCTTTGTCCATGGGTCCTTTATACATGTTCCTTGATTTGACCCTTCCTCTTCTTTTCCCCATTACCCCTCTCCCTCCTTCCCTCACACCACTGTTGGTTTCTTTTTTCTTTCAATGTTGCTGGTTATACTTTCCTTGCAATGTCCTTCTTTTAATTGAGAAGAAAACAGCTGAGTACAGAAGAATGAATACTAAAAGGGAAATTCAAAGCACTAAAAGAAAAATCTAGTCCCCAAAAACCTATATTTACTGTTGTGATACTTAAATGTAATTTAGCATATTGCAAATGTTGTTTGCACAGCTTAGAATAAATATATAAATAATTTTAAATAATAAGGTCTAGAATGCTTAACAGAAAAATACCAGAGAGGAAAAGGTTGAAAACATACATAAGTCTCTATCACAGATACATTCTAATTTTCACTTGAGCTACAAATTTAACATGTTATGCATTTCTAAATTTTCTAAATAAATTTTAACCAAACTCCTAGTTCAAAAACTATATAACCTTCCAAGATATACATACCTGCTGTATGTAATTATTTTTCTCCAAGATGGAAAAAGCAACAGCTGCATTTTCTCCAAGATGGAAAAAGTAAACAGGCACCTATGAGATGGCTGTATCCAAATGACATAATGACTAGAAATACTACTTAACTGCACCTGAAATAAAAAAACAGAATAGAATATATTTTTTTGCATTAAATTTAAAACTAATGTCTGTATTTTAAATACTAATTACTCTCATTTCTTTCTGAAACTGCCAGTAGAAATAGTAAATGTACCAACATTTTCTATACATAACATCTTTAGGTATTGTCAAATAGTAGAAGGAAGAAGAATATTTTCACATATGTCTGACAAAGAAAATATATTCAGACTGAATACAAATTCCTACAAATCAAAAATGGATTGACTAATAACCCCTTCTTAGTGGGTGAAAGACTGAATGGACTTCACAAAGAGGATATAAGAATGGCAAATAGGGATGTGTAAAAGGGCTCAGTGTGATTTAATGTAAATTAAAATCACAATAATATAACATTTCATACTCACCAGAACAGTTAAAATCAAAATTATTAACAGCACCAAATGAGGAGGATATGGAGCAAATGAAACTCTCGTACATTGTAGTGTGAATGAAAATGATTTAATCACTTTGGAGGATTTATTTTTTATGGTTTATCCTCCTAGTAGTTCTTAATGTAAGTTGATAGGTGTATGTCTGTGTGGGTGTGAGTGTATATAAGCATAGAGACATACACACATACACATATGTATATATGTGCTCTCTTTTCAGACAAAAGATAGTATATTATATATATTTTAACCATGAAGATAACATTTTATCTGAGACAATGACTGATGATACATAAGAAAGAGAGTACAATTTGAGTGTCAACAATTTGGCCTTTATATTCCTATTTTAATTCAATGAAATTTAAGTAATCTTTTACTCATAAAGCCATATTCCTGGCCCATGGTCTGATCAGAAACACATTTAAGCATATGTGGACAGATGAGAATTTCAGTTTTTACTCATAAACTATATGAGCATGGGGATTTAAGGTAGTGGTGTCTAAGTATTAACATGTAGCACCTTTTAAAAATCAGGTGTTTTCTTTTATTTTCTAGTATCTTTAAAGTCCTATGAGTCTCTCATTCCTTTACACTATTAAAATTCTTTTTTTTCTGTTTTCTTTTTTTTTGGCAGGGAGGCAAATTCCATTTATTTGTTTATTACAGTTGCACAATTTATCTAGTGGAAAGAGAGTGATGGGAAGTCACCCATGCATCATGGCTCAAAACATTGTTATAAATAACAATTTATTCACTTAGATGTCGGGCTCCATTCAACCCGAAGAATCCCACTGAATATAAGAGATTCTGGGAGAGAATGTTGAGGAGGAAGCAGAGTTTTCCATTTCCTTGGCTCACACTTATTGTCTGGTCTTCCAAAACTGCCTGAGGTTTTCCAAGATAATGAATATTCAGGAGTGTTGGTACCATCTCTTAAAAGCCCCATTGTTTTGCCACGAGCAGCCCCTCTGTGGAAGTTAACTACACATTACCTTGGGATGTTTCTTGTATTGCTGTGTTTAAACTACTAAAATCTCCATTATTCATTTGTTCTATATGTTGTTTCTTAAAAAGATTATAAACGCCTTGAAGGTGGGGATTATCCCACAGCATCAGCACAGGATACAGCTTAGTACCACAGGAAGTGAACGTTGAGCTTCTGTTCTATGCCAGAACCTGTGCTTGGAGCCTTCATATACATCCAGTAAAATTTGATTGTGGAGAAAACAGAGATAGAGATATATTTGAGTTTTAAAAAATAACAACATAAAACTTAACGTTGCAATATAGCATAACAGAACATAATAAAAGGAAAAAGTCAAAACTATAAAATAGTTAAAATATGCAGTCTTGTAAGTTTGGGGAGAATATAGTAACAACCCTAACAAGATTTTCTTTACAAGAGATTTAAGCTTCATATTTATGTATGCAATCTGGTTTCCACCTTTACCTTGGTCTTCAAATGGCTCTTTCAGAAGTTTCCAATATATTTCAATGAGCAAATACATGGGTATATCAGGTTTATTGAGGAAAACAAAAGATATCCCTTGCATTCTGGGTACAAAGGCATTTTTAAAAAATGGACTACTTTTTAGAGCAGTTTTAGATTTACAGCGAAGTTGATCAGAAAGTACAGCGAGTTTTCATATACCTATCCTGTCCTCCTACAGGCTCCCCGCAACCTACATTCCACACCAGAGTGGTACAGTTGTTAAAATGATGAACCTACACTGACACATCATTATCACCTATAGTCCACTGTTTACATTAGAATTCATTTTGGATATTGCATATTTTATAAGTTTTGACAAATGTATAATGATCTGTATCCATTATTATAGTAATATGCAGAATAGTTTCACTGCCCTAAAAATTCTCTGTGCTTTGTGTATAAAGGAATTTAATGTAGGGTTTGGAGGTAATTTAGCCATTGGGACAGATAGGAGACTGCAGTGAAATTTGCGGTAATCCACTGTCAATGATTTTTAGCTTGATGTAACAAAATGACATTGTATAAAATAAAGGCTTACAGATCGAAAACATTCAATACACACCCTGATTTTCAAGAAAGGAAGTGCAATGGGGTACAATAACTATAGGACCATTGCTCAAATTTCTCATGAAAGTAAAGTGATGGTCAAAGCAACAGACACTGCTTCTTTATATGGGGCAAAAAATGCTGGACATTGAAACTGGATTCAGAAAAGGAAGAGGCACACAGGATATAATTGTGAACGTTCACTGGATACTGGAGTGCTTCAAAAAAATTCATAAGGTTAGTCAATGTCTTATGGACTATAGGAAAGCCTTTGTGTAAATTATGCAAAGCTATCAGCTGCTCTGAAAGAAGTGGGCGTGCCTCAGCATTTGATCATCCCGACAGGTAACCTGTACTGTGGACAAGAAGCCACTGTCAGGACAGGACAGAGAGAGACAGAATACTTTCCTTCAGGCAAAGGAGCATTTTATCTCCCTGTTTTCTTAGTCTGTATGCAGAGCATATCATACAAAAAACTGGGCTAGCCTCAGAATAAGGAGGACTGAAAAACTGGCAGAAGAAACATCAATAACTTAAGATATACAGGGGACATCATCTGACTTATAGAACGTAGCAATGATTTGAAATGACTTCTGATGAAAGCAGAAGAAGATAGCGTCAAAGCAGGATTGCATTTGAACATCAAGAAGACAAAAATCATAACTACAGAAGAAATATAAAACTTTAACAAAGACAATGAAGACATTGAAGTTGTTAAACATTTCCCTTACCTTGGTTCAGTCAATTCAAACTGCAACTTCAGCCAGGAAATTAAGAGAAGACAGACTTGGAAGGACAGCAATGGAAGAATTAGGAAAGATCACCAAGACCAATGATGTATCACTAGAGACCAAGGCTAAGATTATGCACATCTTTGTATTCCCAGTTACTACGTATGGTTGTGAAAGTTTGGCAGTGAAGAAGGCTGATAGGAAAGAAAAATTGGTTCATTTGAAATACAGTGTTGGAAGAGAGCTGGGTCTATGGATAACCTGGACCATGAGAAAGACAACTTTTTAGAGCAGTTTTAGATTTACAGCAAAATTGATCAGAAAGTACAGTGAGTTTTCATATACCTATGTTTTAGTATAGACTAGAACAAGTGGGTCCTAAAGCTAATTACATGGGAAACATGGCTGGGGGCAAAAATGCAAAACTGCAGCTGTCCTACTTGAGGCACATCATGAGAAGGCAAGCTTCTTTGGAAAAGACAATCATTCTGGGGTAAACAGAAGGCAGCAGGAAAAGACAAAAACCAAATATGAGATGAATTGACTCCATAAAAGAAACCATAGACATTGCACAGGAGCTGAGCAGGTTGTTGGGGACAGGACACTGTGAACATCACTCATTCATAAGTTCCCCAGGGTTTGGAGCCAACTAAATGGTACATAACACATGCATACACAGTCCCCCCCTGCCCCCCATGAGGGAGTTTGAAAGAGTTCATTTGGAAACCACAGTGAACCTCCTCTTTGATGCTGTCTTTCTTCATCTGCCTTTAAGAATAAGTGGCTTTTCTTCCACTTTCCAAATTTCCAATGGTTGACTCTCACTGGGAAAACTTGGCATTATGTGGAGAAAAGGCTTCTGGGAAATGCATTCCTTGGCTGTTTTTAAGTGATTCTGAGGAGTTGAAGGGTTACTAGTGCTGAGTTGACAACATTTTTATAGTTGACCTTTTCATAGAAAGTTGACCTTTCTACAGCATTAGGTCTTCACCCCCACTTGCTTACTCCCAGATAGTTTAGTTTCCAGAGAAATTCAATGCACTAAATTTATTTCTGTGCTGAGCATTTATCCTGAATCCTCGCCTACTTCCTTGTGTTAGATTCCTGGCAGGACAGCCTATAACACCCAAAGACACTCGTATTCTTTCCTCCTTGTGCTTAGAAAATGTCTAATGCAGCCAGAAACTAGATTCAAATCTAGATGTCTATGTGTATCACCCATGGCATCTTGTCCCTTAATCGCTTCCCTCCTTTGTTTCCCATTCAGTCCCCTGAGGATGAGAAATATGGGTCTTCTAATAAAAGTGGGTTTTTTTTCAAATAATTCTGCTCTACAACTTGTTTCCTTTTTTCCTCAGAAAGAGGAAGAAGGAAGAAGAGAAGAAAAAAAGAAGGGAAGGGGGGAGGAGAGAGGAAAAAAGAGTGAAGGAAGGAGGGAAGTAAAGTGGGTATCATAAAAGATTCACAACATAATGTATTTGGTTTTAGAATACATCCTTTAAAACATATTTGACTAATGTTTTAGATATGATCATATTAAAATTATTCTGTATCTCTACCAATAGATAACATGAAAAATAGATGCAGGGAGGAAAAGAGATGGAGAAAAATTATTGAGAAACATGTATAATGATAAAAGAAGTCTATGATTAAATAACTGTAAGAATAATTCATAATGTTGATTAACTGTAATTACTAATGGCTTAATATTTCATCAGGTCAACTTGTACAGACAACTACTGTTTCCATACTCAATCTGAAATTATCACTGGAGGGATTTATAATAGACATCTGATTACAACAAAACCTTTGGA